CTCACCTTTCCCTTTCTCTCTCTCTATCACCTCTCTCTCTCTGTCTCACCTGTCTCTCTCTCTCTCTCTTTCAACTGTTTTGCTCTTTATCCTTCTCTCTCTTTCTCTCACCTGTATCTCTGTCTCACATCTCTCTCTCTCTGTGTCTCACCTGTGTCACCTGTCTCTCTCTCTCTCTGTCTCACCTGTCTCTCTCTCTCTCTCTCTCTCAACTGTTTTGCTCTTTATCGCTCTCTCTCTTTCTCTCACCTGTATCTCTGTCTCACCTGTCTCTCACCTGTCTCACCTGTCCTCAGATAAAGACCTGACGTCTAATGAAGCACCAACAGGTAACAGACTTTTATTTTGAAGGGATCACTTTCAGATCTCTGTCTGATTGGTTAGTTGTTTTTTTCTTACTTACTTACTTACATTTATCCTAAATGTCATTGGTCAATCTGGTTATGACATCACAGTCTCCATTAAACATAAGTGTCACCTCAGTGACCTCGTCCGCTGCTGCCAGTGACTGCATTCAGATTCAAGAGTTTGTGTGTCTGTGATTGTGTGTCCCTGTGTGTGTGTATGTGTGTATGTGTGTGTGTAATTGTGTCTGTGTGTGTCTGTGATTGTGTGTCTATGTGTGTGTGTCTGTGATTGTGTGTTTGTGTGTCTGTGTGTGTGATTGTGTCTGTAACTGTGTGTATGTGTGTGTGTCTGTGATTGTGTGTCTGTGTGTCTGTGATTGTGTGTCTGTGATTGTGTGTGTGTGTGTCTGTGTGTGTGTCTGTGTCTGTGATTGTGTCTGTAACTGTGTGTCTGTGATTGTGTGTCTGTGATTGGGTCTGTGTGTCTGTGATTGTGTGTGTCTGTGATTGTGTGTGTCTGTGATTGTGTGTCTGTGATTGTGTGTGTCTGTGATTGTGTGTCTGTGATTGTGTCTGTGATTGTGTCTGTAACTGTGTGTCTGTGATTGTGTGTCTGTGATTGTGTCTGTGTGTCTGTGATTGTGTGTGTCTGTGATTGCGTGTCTGTGATTGTGTGTGTCTGTGATTGTGTGTCTGTGATTGCGTGTCTGTGATTGCGTGTCTGTTTCTGGTTCAAACGTGTTATTTTCTCAGTTTGAATCTGAAAGGTTTTTTTGTGTGACTTGACTGATCACAGACTTCATAGATCACACAGACTTTATTGATCACTCAGAATAGGCTGACATCACCGTTTAGCCATCAATATTGAACAAACTGGCCCTGTGTGAGGGAGTTCACTAGCTGTACTTATTGATTAATGATTTATAAATGGATCTATCATTATTGATTTATTGATTTCAGAACCTGCAGTGGCCGCTAAAAACAGTGCAGAGAAGGGCGACGGTGAGACGCATTTCAACGTTCTGATATATAATCTCTAATTATTTATATATCATTTATAAATAATCTATATATAATTATATATGATTTTGATATAATTTATAGAAAATTTATAAATAATTTATATACAATTTATGAAAACTTTATAAATAATTTATATATAATTTATATATAAGTTTTAATAATTTATAAATAATTATATATAATTTATAAATTATTTATTTATAATTTATAAATTATTTATATATGATTTATAAATTATTTGTATATAATTTATACAGGCTGCTGTTTTTTATTTCTGTTTTTTCTCTTTTCTTAGACTCTGAAGAGGAGGGCAAAACATCGGAAGTCAAATCTCAGGCCCCTGCCCTTCAAGAGCAAAGCCCCGCCCTCTTAGCGCAAAGTGCCGCCCTCAGACTTCAGAGTATCACTTACAACAACCAAAATCCCACCCCCACCCAGCCCCCTCAGCCAATCATTCCTCAGCGTAGGTCTGTGGTGAGGACTCGAGCGTCAAAGAGACGAAGAAACAACCGCCGCCAAATATAACAGACACACACAGACACACAGACACACACACACACACACACACACAGACACACACACACACAAAGGAAGATCTAACTGGTTGTCTCCATGTTTCTTTGTCTCTGTTGTTGAAATAAAAACATGATAATCTTGCTGACACACGGTTTGATCAGGATAACAGATCTGATTGTTTTGGATCCTGGACCCCTTTATTTAGCTCTTTGTTGTTTAGTTTATATCAATAGTTGTGTATCGACAAAAAAAACTCATGAAACAATAAAAAATTGTTTGTTACGTTTTTCTGTTTAAATAAAAATAAGCTGAAAAAAACTCAAACCTTGGCTCAGCTGATTCTATTACTGCGACAGAAAACATCATAAAAATATAAAAAAACATCAAGTGTTATATACTGATATAGACTTTTAAAGACTGTCTAAGACTGTTATAAACTGTTATAGACACAGACTCTTATTGACTGTTTTAGACTGTTATAGACAAATCGTCCTCTGACTGTTATAGACTCGTACTGTTATAGCCCGTTAAGGACTCAGACTGTTTTAGACTATTATAAACTCAGACTGTTACGGACTGTTATAGACTGTTACAGACTGAGACTATTAAAGCCTCAAACTGTTATAGACTGTTATAGACTCATGCTTTTATAGACTGTTATGGACTCAGGCTGTTATAGACTGTTGTAGACTGTTATAGACTCGGACTATAATAGCCTCAGCATGTTATGGACTGTTATAGACTCAGACTGTTGTGGACTCAGACTGTCCAAGACTCAGACTGTGATAGACTTTTAAAGACTCAAACTGTTACAGACTCAGACTATTATGTACTGTTATGGACTCAGACCGCTATCAACAGTTGTAGAATCAGACTCTTATAGACTCAGACTGCTAGAGACTGTTTTGGACTCAGACTGCTTTAAACTCAGACTGTTATTGTCTTTTATAGACTTAGAATGTTATAGAATGTTAAAGACCGTCAAAGACATTTATAGATTCAGTCTTTTATAGACTGTTATAAACTGAGATTGTTATAGGCTTTTATAGACTCAGACTGTTATAGACTTTAATAGACTCAAACTGTTATAGACTGTTATACACTCAGAATGTTATAGACTGTTACAGACTGTTGTAGACTGTTAAAGACTCAGACCGTTATAGACTGTTATAGACTCATGCTGTTATATACTGTTTTAGACTGTTATAGACTCAGACTGTTATAGACTGTTATAGACTGTTATAGAGTCAGACTTTTATAGCTTCAAACTGTTATCGACTGTTATAGACTCAGACTGTTTTGGACTCAGACTGTTATAGACTCAGACTGCTAGAGACTGTTATAGACCCAGACATTCCGGACATGGCTATCGAGCTAGCAGGCCGCACAGCACACAGACGCGACAGGAGCCGCGACTCCGGGAAGAGCAGGAGAGGGGGGCTCTGCATCTATGTGAATAACAGCTGGTGCACAAACGCCACTATTATCGACAGGCACTGCTCAGTGGACCTGGAATTTATCACAGTTAGATGCAGGCCAGCGTACCTTCTGCGTGAGTTTACCGTTGTCATGGTGACTTCAGATCCAGCCCCACCACAATCTCTGGGGACGCCTCACTGGCGGAGGAGCTTAATCATTTCTTGGCCCGTTTCGAGGCAGAGCCACCAGCGGGGGCCCTCACTGCAGCTGACATCCCTACATAGTCTGACCTTCTCTGTGCAGGTACAGGAAGTGTGGAGAACCCTGAGGGCAGTGAACCCCCGTAAAGCTACTGGACCTGATGGTGTGACAGGGAGGGTGCTGAGGGAGTGTGCTGACCAGCTAGCTGGGGTTTTCACCAACATCTTTAATCAGTCCCTCACCCAGTGCTCCATCCCACCCTGCCTAAAGTCCTCCACCATCATCCCTCTGCCAAAAAAGAGCAACACCACTAGCCTCAATGACTACCGGCCAGTAGCACTTACCCCCATCATTATGAAGTGCTTCGAGAAACTGGTTCGGAGTCATATCACTTCACGCATGCCACCAACACTTGACCCCCACCAGTTTGCATATAGAGCCAACTGGTCTACGGAGGATGCCATTGCCACCGCTCTGCACACCACGCTGACAGACGTGGAACAGCGAGGGAGCTACGCGAGGCTGCTCTTCCTGGACTTCAGCTCGGCCTTCAATACCATCATTCTGAGCAGACTAGTGAGCAAACTGGGGGACCTGGGTCTCTACCACAACATCTGCCATTTGATTTTGGACTTTCTGACAGACTGCTCCCAGAGGGTGAGAGTAGGACTCCACCTATCCCCAGCACTGAGCACCAGCACCGGCTCTCCACAGGGCTGTGTGCTAAGCCCCCTACTCTACACCCTCTACACCCAAAACTGCACCCCCACTCACCCATGATACCACGGTGGTGGGGCTCATCTCTGGAGGAGATGAGACTGCTTATAGAGTGGAGGTGGAGCGACTGTCAGTCTGGTGCACCTCCAACAACCTCATCCTGAACACCTCCAAGTCGAAGGAACTGATTGTCGACTTCAGGAGGAGTAAACAGGAATTCAACCCATCACAATAAATGGGGACAGGCTTGAGATTGTGCCAGACTTCAAGTTTCTGGGCACCTACATCGGTGAAGACCTGACCTAGACTGCAAACTCCACTTCAATCCTGAGGAAGGCACAGCAGACACTCTACTTCCTGAGGATCCTCAGGAAGAGCAATATAAAAACTGAGCTCTTGGTGTCCTTCTACTGCTGCTCAGTGGAGTCAGTGCTGAGCCATGGCATCTCGCTGTGGTTCTGCAGCTGCACTGCGGCAGAGAGGAAGCAGCTCCAGAGGGTCATGAACACAGATCAAAGACTGACTGGCTGCCCTCTTCCATCCCTGGAGAAGATCTACAGCACCCGCACAGGAGAGCCCGCAGCATCGTCAGGGACCCCTCACACCCCGGCCACCACCACTTCAAACTCCTACCTTCAGAGAGGCGTTTCAGGGCAATAAAGACAAAAACAAACAGACTAAAGTACAGCTTTTATCCAAGAGCTGTCGTTGCCCTGAACACTGCAGACTCCTCCATCAATAAATAAGCCAAATACTGTGAAATAGGGAATTTCTGTTTCATATCAAGTGCAATACTCTTGAATGTCTTGAGTGCAATAGTGCTGGTTGTTTTTTATTCATTTTCACAATTTTTCATATTATAGTTTACTTAAATTATATGTTTATATTATTCTATTGTGTTATTTTGTGCTATATTATTGTTATTTTTTTAATGATACCTTTGCACTGTCTGCGAGAGCTGCTATTATTCTGATTCTGATTCTGGTATACTTAGGCTGTCATAGACTGTTAAAGACTCAGATTGTTATTGACTCAGACTGTTATAGACTGTTATAGACTTAGATTGTTAAAGGGGACCTGCCATCAAAATGTAATTTTGTGTGTTTTTTGTGTCAGATAAGGTCCATATTTTGTTCGTCTTATGTTGTAAATGTGAAAACAAACTGTTATGTCGTTTTCATTCTGTAAAGGTTTAAAATAAAGAAACGGGTAAACCAGGCCAATTGAAAAAGCAGGTCCTTCTGACGTCACGCTGACCTTGCTCATTATTATTCACGAGCGTGTCCTCGGTGAGCTGCGCCCGCTCTCTCATTCTCATACTCATTCACAGTCAACATTACTCTCCAGCCAGAGCGAGACCCAGCTACCACTGTATCCGCTATGGGTCTCTTCCAAACGACCGGTGTTTCCTTCGGTTCACTGCCGGGAAAATGAACTTAAAGCTGAGCAGAATGAATGAAAACACCGCTGGAGATCTCTGGCTTCTTCTTCAACTTCCACCTCCTCTTCGGACTCGGGGTCTAAAATATATGGTTTAATACCTGCCATTTTTAGCCTTTAGCATAAGGTGACCAGACGTCCCCAATTTCCGGGGACAGTCCCCGTATTGGATGACCTGTCCCCGGCAAAAGCTGTCCCCGAAAATGTCCCCGATTTAAGCGTTTCATGAATGAGAGCAAAAATGTTGCGTGTGGGCTCGAACAACGGTTATTACAGTAGCCGAATAGGTAGGAAGCACAAGTAAGCAGTCCTGAACAACAGTTTTTAAGGGGGTTATTACAAGGGGCATACGCTGCTACTAAATAGTACCGAGATTTTGTCTGTGATCACGCAGCCCCTGCAGCCCCTGCAGCCCCTGTGGCCCCTGCAGCACCTGCACCCGCCGCCACCGCCGCACCGAATATCCCCGGATATCATTACAGACATCTGGGCACCTTACTATAGCACACATTAGCAAAATGGATAAACCGATTTCCGATGCTCCACTGCTGAGCCAATCAGAGCACAGCAGGCTTCACAGCAGCGATCCAATCAGAGCAAAGCTCATTACCATAAATGTTAATGAGCCAAAATCAGTTGGTTTTCCTGTAAGGTTTTTTAGGCATACTAAAACAAACCATCAAATAACTTTTCAGCTAAAATTATGTTGCAAACATGATCAGAGGACATCAAGGATTATGAAAAATTGATAAAAATGGGTTTGAAATTTTGAAGGCAGGTCCCCTTTAAAGACTGTTATGGACTCAGACTGTAATAGACTGTTATTGACTCAAACTGTTATAGACTGTTATAGACTCTGACCGTTATTGACTCAGACTGTTATAGAATGTCATAGACTCTGACTGTTCTAGACTTAGACTGTTCTAGACTGTTATAGACTCAAACTGTTATAGACTGTCATAGACTCAGACTGTGATAGACTGTTATCGACTCAGACTGTTCTAGACTTAGACTGTTATGGACTCTGACTGTTAAATCCCAAATTCTCACCTCACCATCTCCATACCTGACTCCCCTGTCACTCAAGGCCAAACCACACCCCCAACACCATAAAAGCCAGCCCTCAGGCCTGCTCTCCCTTTTGCACCCTGACCAAGATCAGCACAGAACAAAGGGAGTCTGAATGTGAGTTGGAAACGGACAAAGCCTTACAAAATGTCGTTGGATTCTCCTTATTTGTATTATTTCTAATATGGTTTATTCTCAAATATTATTTCATTAGATTCCTGTCACCCTAAACGCAAATGTAATGATTTAAAGCCCTGAAGTGGATGCATCTATGACGTGAGATTAGTTAACAAATTTACAAATTCATTTGACTTTATCAGTCCCCCTTTTTTGTAATATTTTATGTTGATACATCTTGTTTCTATTCCTTTGATTGTCTGAACAGAGAAAATCATCCACTGAAGACGAGCGAAATAAACCGTCTAACTGAATCCTGGATCCTGTGTTTTAATGTTCACTTGATATAGGATGTTCGATGAGCAAGCATCAGCGTCAACATAATCTTTTACACTGACCATTATTGACTCAGACTGTTATAGACTGTTATAGACTCAGACTGTTGTAGACTTAGAATGTTATAGACTGTTATAGACTCAAATTGTTATAGACTGTTATCGTCTCAGACTGTTAAAGACTATTATAGACTCAGGCTTTCATAGATTGTTATTGAATCAGACTGTTATAGACTTAGACTGTTAAGGACTGTTATAGACTGTTATAGACTCAAACTGTTATAGAGATTGATAAACTCAGACCGTTACGAGCTCAGACTCTTATAGACTTTTTTAGACTGTTAAAGACTGTCATAGACTCAGACTGTTTTAAATGTAGCCTGTTATTGATTGTTATAGACTCAGACTGTTATAGACTGTTACAGACTTAGATTGTTAGAGACTGTTATAGACTCAGACTGTTATAGACTGTTACAGACTCAGACTGTTATGGGCTGTAATAGACTTATAGATTCAAACTGTGGCTTAAACTGTTATAAACCGTTAAAGACTCAAAGTGTTATAGGCTGTTATAGACTCAAAGTGTTATAGACTGTTATAGACTCAGACTGTTAAAGACTGTTATAGACTCAGACTGTTCAGACTGTTATAGACTGTTACAGACTCAGACTGTTATGGGCTGTAATAGACTTATAGATTCAAACTGTGGCTTAAACTGTTATAAACCGTTAAAGACTCAAAGTGTTATAGGCTGTTATAGACTCAAAGTGTTATAGACTGTTATAGACTCAGACTGTTAAAGACTGTTATAGACTCAGACTGTTCTAGACATAGACTGTTATAAACTGTTATAGATTCAGACTGTTATAGACTGTTGAAGACTTAGATTGTTAGAGACTGTTATAGACTCAGACTGTTATAGACTGTTAAAGACTAAGACTGTTATGGGCTGTAAAAGACTTATAGATTCAAAGTGTCATAGACTGTTATTGACTTATAGATTCAGACTGTTATAAACAGTTCAAACTCAGACTGTTATAGACTGTAAAAGACTAAGACTGTTATGGACAGTGATAGACTTATAGATTCATACTGTTATAGACTGTTGAATACCGGGGTAGTTATACACTGTTATAGACTCTGACCGGTATTGACTCAGACTGTTATAGACTGTTATAGACTCAGACTGTTATAGACTTAGACTGTTATAGAATGTTATAGACTCTAACTGTTTTAGACTGTTATCGACTCAGACTGGTATAGACTGTCATAGACTCAGACTTTTATAGACTCAAACTGTTGTACACTGTTATAGATTCAGACTGTTATAGACTGTTAAAGACTTATATTGTTAGAGGCTGTTATAGACTATAACTGTTATAGACTGTTACAGACTCAGACTGTTATGGAGTGTTATAGACTTATAGATTCAGACGGTTATAGACTGTTATTGACTGTAATAGATTCAGACTGTTTTAGACTGTTAAAGACTGTTAGACTCACACTGTTATAGACTGTTACAGACCCAGACTGTTATGGACTGTTATAGACTAAGACTGTTATGGACTGTGATAGACTTATAGATTCAGACTGTTATATACTTAGGCTGTTATAGACTGTTATAGACTCTGACCGTTATTGACTCAGACTGTTATAGACTCAGACTGTTAAAGACTTAGACTGTTATAGACTGCTATAGACTCAAACCGTTATAGACTGTTATCGACTCACACTGTTATAGACTGTCATAGACTCAGACTTTCATAGATTGTTATAGATTCAGACTGTTTTAGATTCAGACTGTTATAGAATGTTACAGACTCAGACTGTTATAGACTGTTAAAGACTAAGACTGTTATGGACTGTGATAGACTTATAGATTCAGATTGTAAAAGACTTTTATATACTTAGGCTATTATAGACTCTTATAGACTCTGACCGTTATTGACTCAGATTGTATAGACTGTTATAGACTGAGACTGTTATGGGCTCTGATAGACATATAGATTCAGACTGTTATAGACTGTTTTTGACTGTTATAGATTCAGACTGTTATAGACTGTTAGAGACAGTCACAGACTCAGAATGTTTTAGACTGTTATAGACTGTCATAGACTCAGACTTTCATAGATTGTTATAGAATCAGACTGTTTTAGATTCATGTTGTTATAGATTGTTATAGACTCAAACTGTTATACACTGTTATAGATTCAGACTGTTATAGACTGTTATAGACTAAAATTGTTAGAGGCTGTTATAGACTCAGACTGTTATAGAATGTGACAGACTCAGACTGTTATAGACTGTTATAGACTAAGACTGTTATGGGCTCTAATAGACATATAGATTCAGACTGTTATAGACTGTTAGAGACAGTCACAGACTCAGAATGTTTTAGACTGTTATAGACTGTCATAGACTCAGACTTTCATAGATTGTTATAGAATCAGACTGTTTTAGATTCAGACTGTTATAGACTGTTACAGACTAAGACTGCTATGGACTGTGATAGACTTATAGATCCAATCCTTTTCCGTTTTGTAGTTTTTTAAAACTTTTTTTCTCTTTTGAACATTTTCTGTATAAAAATAGTTTTTTTAAATTTTCTGTGTCCATGATGAATGGACCTTTTTTGATCTATATTTGCTCTGCTGAGAGAGAGAAGATTATTTTAACCTTTCATGACAAATTCAACATTTAAGGTGATGAATGATTTAAAGTCTGTAGAAACAACATCTAGAGAAACGATGTTGACCAAAGTTTTAGATCCTTGTGGCAGCAAAGATGATTTCTGAGTGAAAGTGTTGTCAACATATAAAACCTTTAAAAATCATATGTATAAAAAAACATGTTAATCATCTTCTACAGTTGAGTTCTTAGAAACACTCAGAGACTGTCTTTGACCCACATCTGTATAAGTGTTGATTTTTGGGTTCCTGACTCTCAGACTCGGCATTTGTTTTTACGGATCCGTCTTTTGTTCTGAGAAAGTGAATACGGAGCTCATTAGAGGCTGTTAACATGCTCACACATGCACACACTCAGGAACACTTTTATTTCACGCTTTGTGTTTTTGTTTTCTGTCCTCAGGTGAACTTGGAGCCGACCAACTTCAGCCAACATTTCTCAGAGCCAAGCTGTCGTCAAAAAACCTGAAACCTTTAAACCTTTCAAACACGTCAGGGAAAAACGTCTTTTCATTGAAAAACAACGCATTCAATGATTGAATAACATGATTAATCACTAAAAAAATAAGTCAGTTTGATGAAAAACATGTTAATTACCAAAAAAAAAAGATTTTCATGAAAAGATCATTTACAAAGATCTTGACTGAAAAATGTGAAAAAAGAGAAACTGACCTGGAAACAGATCAGCTGACAGCAGCAAGTTCAGATCTTCAGTTTTTCACCAAATGCAAATAGAATCACGTCATGGAGGAAAAATCAACGTAAACACACGAATGACAAACGTCCAGCTGAAACATCAGATCTCCAGCGAATGTTGGCACTGAAATAACCAATCAGAACGGAGATACTCGGCGACGAACGCCAACAACAGAATCGAGGATTAACGATGGAGACGGTACGAGACTCTGAGACTCTGAGACTGGACTAAAGAAGATCTCAGCTGAAGGACAGCGAGTCAGGAGGTCCACGGATCAACCAGAACAAACGGACCAGACCTGCAGCAGGAACCCGCCTCGCTGTAACCACACCTCTGATTGGACATTCTGCAGACGAGATATGAACATGAGAAGACGATTTTATTCACGCTTGGACTAAACGTGACATGAGACCTAAGATCGGTTCTTCAGTGGACAGAGATCTGCTCTGATTGGTTGACTTGTTTGACGTTTTTCACAATAAAAAAAAATGTGTTTCTGAGTCTCAGATTTCGGACAGAGTGTCCAACCAGTTCTCATCTCCATGACAAAACAGGCCCACACACATTCCTGTGAATTTACCATCAACATCACTTCCTGGTCGTGTGTGTGTGTGTGTGTGTGGGGGGGGGGGGGCAGTCAGAAACAGTCAGGAGGAAATTTTTTGACTACCGACACAGGTAAGTAACTCTGGAGGTCGTCTGAACTCAACACACGAGAACCGACGACAAGAAACTGAAAACTGTAAAAACTGAACGGAGAAACAAACAGAGAGACGGGATTAACACAGAAACACACCTGAAACCAGATTAATCCATTCTTTCCAGATTTTGTTTTAGAATTATGAGGCAGATATTCCCCTGATGTTATTTGATTATAAAAGTTCTATATTCATGAATTTTGTATTTTTATGTTTCAGATGTTTTTACAAGTTTGTCAAAATTACTTAGAGGTGCTTTAATTTACAGACAGAGATCACAGCAGAATAAAAACTTCCTGTACTCTTAAATGTTATTACTGATGTTTTTTTTTCTATAATTGAAACATCTGAAAGTAAAATGAGAAAACTTTTTTATATAAAAGACTCAAATTAAGATTTGAACAGCTGACTCAGCAGTTCTGGATGGTTCTGTTGGATCTTTTTGGGTTGAAAGTGTTAAAGGCTTCTCCTCCTAAATGACTGATTTTTGAATATAATCATGAGTTATTGATTACCAACTGAATGATCATGAATCCTCCTTTAATTGTTGTTCTGAGATTATTCTGTTTTCACGTCGACTGCCTCTGATCAGAATAATCTGTTTTATTCAGCGTTCACCTGAGTGCAGCTGATGGGACAGGTGATGTGAGGGAGAGGGAAAGGGTGGAGAAGGGGGGAGGAGAGTGTGGACATAAAAAGCAGCGTCTCTCTTTCAGCTGAGTTCAGAAACTCGTCAAACAACCGAGTTAGTTTCTTGTTCGACGAAAGCATGATGTTCTCCAGGTGAGTTTTTTCCTTCTTCTTTTAGATTTCGTCCTTCATCCTGACTAAAGTTTGTAAAAGCTCACTGTTCAAGATAAATCACTGTTTTTATCAAAGTTTTATTAGAGAGAGATCGAAAGGTCAGAGCAAAACTGACTGCTGCTTATTTCATGACATTTATTCAGTTAACACTCCGGGGGATTTTCAGAAGAATAATCGTAGCTTTGAGTCACTGTCTGCTGGTTTCTGTCCTTTTCTGCTGTTTTCATTTATTTGTTTCAGTTTTTTTTTCTATTTTCCTTTCCTTTTTTTTCTTTTGCTGTTTTCTATTTTTTTGTTTCAGTGTTTTCTCTTTTCTTTTTCTTTTTTTGCTATTTTCTATGGGTTTTTTAATGTTTTTTTGTGTGTTTTTTTTTTTTTTTTTTTTTGTGTGTTTTTCATTTTTTTTGTCTCCGTCATTTTCTGCTCCCCTCTGTTTCTCTTTGCGGTGCTGTGGTTTAACTACTCAGGACTCAGGTTCTGCTGTTTCAGGGTCCGGTCTGTGTAAATCCAGTACTTCAGTGTTTGGGCATAAAGCGTCAGTATTCCCTGGATTTCCCCTGACACTTGACTCTCAGAAGGAGCCTTAAAGCTTTTTGTCCCTTTGAGCTGCTGCAGCTCTTTTCTCTCCATATGTCCCTGAAGAACAGACGCTTTGTTTTTTTTCCTGTCCAGGAAACAAAGAAACAGTCATTAACCTTTCAGGCTGCAGACCGGCTCCACCCCCGCTGCTCCAAACACCTCACATTACTCAGGAAATACTCTGACCGTCTTTAACATCCAACAAGACAGAAAAGCAGTATTCTATTCACCTGGAAGTACTCAGTCCCATTACTAATGCTGTGTAAAATAAACATAAATTCACAGATCACATGACTGACATACAAACAAAACAGCTGACTTTATTAAAGTCAGTATTTACTCAGTCCATGTTCAGCTTTTACTCATATACATACTTGTAGCTTTTATTATTTGATGTTTTTTTTCTCCTGTACAGGCCACTTTGTCTGGCCTGTCCTATAAATGTGCTATATAAATAAACGTGACATTGACACATATATATATATATATATATATATATATATATATATATATATATATATATATATATATATGTGTGTGTGTGTGTGTGTGTATATATATATATATATATATATATATATATATATATCATGTTGTTTGTTTCTTGTTGCAGAGTATTACAGTGATGAAAATTACATGCAAACAGGCTGCAGTCAAATTTGCCCTTTGATTTGGCATTATAAGCTTTCCTGTGTGTGTGTGTGTGTGTGTGTGTGTGTGTGTGTGTGTGTGTGTGTGTGTGTGTGTGTGTGTGTGTGTGTGTCTTAAACAGGTGTGTTGGGTTGCTGCTCTTGGCTCTCTGTGCTCTTTCTTCTGCAGCTCCAGCTCAAGGTAAACAAGAACTTTGAATAAGAAACTCGAACATAAAACCATAAGTGACAAATTCAACCAAACGATCTCACATGAACTCTCATTTAGCAAGCATGCTGACATAGAATCTAAAGTTTCCATTTTTATCCATTATTCCATTATTGTTATTATTATTCATAATTATAATTGTAAGTATTATTATATTTCATTGTAATTATTAATATTTATATTGCTACTATTGTTATTATTCATAATAAATTATGAAACAAAATGAGTCATAAGTATCTATAAATATTTATTGGATTTATCTGTAATGATAAAATGCTGCTGTTGACTGATTATTGAATATTGATTGGTAGAACAATGTTGGAGAAGCAGGTTTGGTGAACATGTCCACACACCGTCATGATGACTCAAACAATATTACGATAATGTCGTTCATCAGCAGCTGTGTCTTGTTTATCGTCCCGTTTTCCACACTGCGGTCACAGCAGGGGACGCTGGGGCCGCCCCAGATATGGCAGCTACACAAGACGGCGCCCCCTGCTGGTCATCAGATTCGTTTATACAGACACCTTTGTGAGTGTTAGGCAAATATCAAACTTCATCCTGAAAAACAAAAAAAGCATCAGATTAATAAACAATCCAAAAGATTTAAATATTTAGTTCAGGATTCTACTTGTCCCTCAGTCTGTTTGTATGTCTGTACCATAGACTGTATCTAGAACGGATGCCGTCTGCCTCCTCACTCTGAGAACAGCGCCCTCTGGTGACGGGCTGCAGTATAGGTCATAAACCCCGCCTCCTTATGGAGCTGTGGACAAACTTTATAAATGAATGACACAGAATATAAATGTTTCTCCCCCCTGGTTGTGATGTTGACATGTAGTTACTGTCAGACTGGTTTGTGCTCAAGTCCTCTTTTTTTCTCTACAGCTCCATTTTTAAAAGTTATTAGGGGGTTCATGTTTTCTATGATTGACATTTGATACAGCCTATGGGCGTTAAGGGATTGTGTAGCTCACCAGGGGGATACGCTGTGTGAGTCGAGCTTCATCACAGCGACTCTTCCGTTGTACCACACTACTTCGCGAGTGGTGGTTCCAGGATGTGGAGAAAATCACGGAAATACTGAAAGAAATCCGGCTTAAAATTCATATGATTATGGAAGGCGAAGCCAAGTTGTCCATAGTATAAACAGTCTATGGTCTGTATCTGTCAGTTTGTCTGTATCTGTCTGTGTGTCTGTATCTGTCAGTTTGTCTGTATCTGTCTCTCTCTTTGTCCCTGAATGTTAATTTTTGAAACATTTGATTTAATTGAATTTGTTGGATTTTGCAGACAGAAGTGAAGCCCTACTAAACCACCTTAATGGTAACGCACCCAATTATACACACACACGCATGAACACATCTATACCCACAGATTTCACACACACAGATTTTATATGCACACACAACATGCACACTAAGAAAACCACACTGACACAAACAGATAGAGGAAAACAACTGTAACAGTTGATCCGATTGTTGTCTTAAATGTGAGACAGATGGTCAGCCGGTGAACTAAAGATTGATTATTAATTATACCTTTTTTTTTTCAGGAGGGACCACAGATGGACCAGTTACCCCACAGCCAGGTAACACAACAAACACACACTCTACTCTTCCTTAAAGACACACATTAAAAAAAAACAAATTCACTTCTTTAATTTAAAAAAACAATCACACTTTAAAGAAAAAAGTACATTACACTTTGACATAGATTCAAACAACAAAAATGTGAACACACATGTAACATATAATAGGTACACAACATTTTTTGAGAGAGAGAATTATTGCAGACTGACATTCAAGGAACAGACTGTTGCTATGGAGAACAGACTGTTGCTATGGAGATCAGACTGTTGCTATGGAGCAGACTGTTGCTATGGAGAACAGACTGTTGCTATGAATAAAAGACTGGGGGTATAAAGAACAGACTGTTGCTATGAAAAACAGACTGTTGCTATGGAGAACAGACTGGTGCTATGAAGAACAGACTGGGGGTATAAAGAATAGGCTTTGGTTAATTATCTTGTTTAGCCCATTGTTTCTGTTCTTATCTTTAATTCTGTCCTAATTTCACGTTCGGTTCGTAACAGTTTTCGCATCATTACAGGAACCGAAGACAGCATAGACTCTAACGAACAGACTCAAGGTAACTTACTGTCACTTCCTGTATTTTGTCTCTCTGTCTATCTGCTTGTTTGTGTTTGTCTTAGCTTTTGGTCTTTTACCTCAAATAAAGTTTTTATGATTAAAGTTTTTTTTTCTTTTACAAACTAAGAGCAGAGCTTCACGAAAGGAAACATCTGAAACCAAGTAGAATCAAAGAATGAGGAACTTTAGCTGAGAAGAAATAGATAAGTGATGAAAGAATGAGGATATTTGAGCTCAAAGAAAACACAGCTTGTTAGTTGCGGTAAGACACCACAAATAGCGATGTACACGAAGTAATAGCAGTTAGGACGCAAGAGCAGGAAAAAAAGAAGAATGAAAGAATGAGGATGTATGAAAAAAGGAAAGATATTTTTCTGTTCCTCTTTTCTAGCTCCTTCTGATTCAGCAAAACCCAAGGACGGAGGAGGTCAGCACATCTAATGTTTGTCTTATATCATCAAAATGATTCACAAAGCCTCTTCTTCAATCAACTTAATTATGAATTTAATAGAAGGTCGAAGTTATAATCAAAAAAATTCATGATCAAATTCATAGAAATAGGATTGGTTTAACACAAAGTCAGCCTTAAGTATTATAACACTATAATAACTCAAAACAACAGAACAAGACTACAGAGGTCTGAGCCATTAAAGCAGGTCTATACCGGGTATATCTATAACACTGAGTCCAAAACAGTCTAAGTATATAACAGTCTAAGTCTAAAACACTCTGAGTCTATGACAGTCTGAGTCTATAACACTTTGAGTGAATACAAGGTCCATTCTATAACACTCTGAGTATATAACAGTCTAAAACAGTCTGAGTCTACAACAGTATAAGTCTAAAACAGTCTGAGTCTTTAACAGTCTATAACAGTCTGAGTCTTTTACAGTCTGAGTCTATAACAGTCTGAGTCTATTTCAGTCTATAAAAGTCTGAGTCTATAACAGTCTGAGTCTTTTACAGTCTGAGTCTATAACAGTCTTAGTCTATAACAGTCTATAACAGTCTGAGTCTGTTACAGTCTATAACAGTCTAAGCCTAAAACACTCTCAGTCTATAACAGTCTGAGTCTATTACAGTCTATTAAAGACTGAGTCTATAACAGTCTGAGTCTTTAACAGTCTGAGTCTATAACAGTCTATAACAGTCTTAGTCTATAACAGTCTATAACAGTCTGAGTCTATAACACTTTGAGTCTATACCAGGTTCAGTCCATAACAGTCTGAGTCTAGAACAGTATAAGTCTAGAACAGTCTAAGTCTAGAACGCTCATAACAGTCTGAGTCTTTAACGCTTTGAGTGAATACAAGGGCCGGTAAATAACACTCTGAGTCAATAACAGTCTGTAACAGTCTGAGTCTACAAAAGTCTGAGTCTATAACACTCTGAGTCTTTAACAGTCTATAACAGTCAAAGTCTATTACAGTCTATAATACTCTATAACAGTTCAAGTCTAAAACACTCTTAGTGTATAACAGTCTGAGCTTTTTTACATTCTAAAAAAGATTGAGTCTATAACAGTCTATAACAGTCTCAGTATATAACACTCTATTCAAGGTCGAGTCTATAACGCTCTGAGTCTGTAACAGTCTGTGTTTATTAGAGTCTATAACAATCTGAGTCTATATCAGTCTATAACAGTCTGAGTGTATAACAGTCTATAACACTGAGTTTATAACAGTCTATAACATTCTGAGTCTCTAACACTTGGACCAGGTTCAGTCTTGGACAGTCTAAGTCTATAACAGTCTATAACAGTGAGTCTATAACACTTTAAGTAAACACAAGGTCCAGTAAGTAACACTCCGAGTCTATAACAGTCTATAACAGTCTAAGTCTACAACAGTATGAGTCTATAAAACTCTGAGTCTTTAACAGTCCATAACAGTATGAGTTTATTACAGTCTATAACACTCTTTAACAGTCCAAGTTTAAAACACTCTATAAGAGTCTGAGTCTTTTACAGTCTAAAAAAGACTGAGTCTATAACAGTCTGAGTCTATAACAGTCTATAACACTTTGAGTCTATAACAGTCTATAACACTGAGTATATAACAGTCGATAAAATTCTGAGTCTATGACAGTCTGAGTCTATAAAACTCTGAGTCAATAACAGTCTAAGTCTACAACAGTATGAGTCTAATTCATTCTGAGTCTTTTACAGCCTATAACACTCTATAACAACACTCTCAGTCTTTATCAGTCTGAGTCTATTTCAGTCTATAAAAGTCTGAGTCTATAACAGTCTGAGTCTTCTACAGTCTGAGTCTATAACAGTGTATAACAGTCTATAACAGTCTGAGTCTATAACACTTTGAGTCTATACCAAGTTCAATCTACAACAGACTGAGTCTATAACAGTCTGAGTGTACAACAGTCTATAACACTCTATGACAGTCTGAGTCTTTACCAGTCTATAACAGTCTGAGTCTATAACAGTCTATAACAGTCTGAGTCTATAACACTTTGAATCTATACCAGGTTCAGTCTAAAACAGTCTGAGTCTATAACAGTCTGAGTCTAGAACAGTCTATAACAGTCTGATTCTATAACACTTTGAATCTATACCAGGTTCAGTTTAAAACATTTTGAGTCTAGAACAGTCTATAACAGTCTGATTCTATAACACTTTGAGTCTATACCAGGTTCAGTCTATAACACTCTGAGTCAATAACACTCTGAGTCTTTAACAGTCTGAGTCTGTAACGGTCTTTAACATTCTAAGTCTGTAATACTCTTGGTTTACAACAGTCTGAGTCTATAACACTGAATTTTTAACAGTCTGAATCAATCACACTTCGAGTCTATACCAGGTCCAGTTTATTACACTCTGAGTCTATGACAGTCTGAGTCTATAGCACAGTCTGAGGTGGGTTGTGCGCAGAGATCACATCATAAATTCCAAAAACGGCATTAAAATTGGAACCATCTGTGCGTAAATGACGCATCACGCTCTGTGGCCTGGCTCTTTCTTTCATAGATGTTGGCATATAAAATAAATTTGGCTCACAAAACTGAGTATTGTAATATTTTAATGTCGGCTTAAAGTAAATAACTCATCTGATCACTGAAACAAATCATCTGTTCAGCCGCAGCAGCAGCTGCAGCAGGACGTGGAGAGGACACGGAGACATGTCCAGGTCGAGCTGCGCGAGAAATAAGAGGAAGAAAGAAAAGGAGGGAGACGAATTACATATCTTGTTAACTTTATCAAAATACCACTAGACCAGGTGCGCTCTGCCACCGGTGAGCACAGGAAATGTCGCTGCGGTAGCTGGTTCTGTCGCCACTTCCCGCTGCCATGCCACCATGGCCAGCTTGGCGGCCTCTGTGCCCCGAGCCTACAAATATACCAAACTGGCTGTACTCCAGGCTCTGCTGGACGAAAAAACCACAGCACGGGGTCCGCCAACCTCCGCCGCGTCCCCGGGGTACACAAAAATAGAGCCCTCTGACTCTATGACAGTCTGAGTCTTTACCAGTCTATAACAGTCTGAGTCTTTAACACTTTGAATCTATACCAGGTTCAGTCAAAAACAGTCTGAGTCTAGAACAGTCTGAGTCTAGAACAGTCTAAAACAGTCTGATTCTATAACACGCTTTGGGTGAATACAAGGTCCAGTCTATAACACTCCTAGTCTATAATAGTCTATAGCAGTCTGAGTATATAACACTCTGAGTCTATAACAGTCTATAACAGTCTGAGTCTATTGCAGTCTATAACACTCTATAACAGTCCAAGTTTAAAACACTCTCAGTCTATAACAGTCTGAGACTTTTACAGTCTGGGTCTATAACAATCCATAACAGTCTTAGTATATAACAGGCTGAGTTCATTACAGTCTATAACAGTCTGAGTCTATACCAGGTCCAGTCTGTAACAGTCTGCATGTATTAGTCTATAACAGTGTGAGTCTATAACAGTCTATAACAGTCTAAGTCTATAACAGTCTGAGTTCATTACAATCTAAAACAGTCTGAGTCTATAGAACCTTAAGTCCAAACCAGAACCTATAAAACCAGTCTATAAAACTCTAAGTCTATAACAGTCTGAGCATATAACACTTTAAGTCTATATTAGGTCTAGTCTATAACACTCTGAATCTATAAAAGTCTAAGTCTCTAAAACTTTGAGTCTATAACAATCTTAGTCTATAACAGTCTGAGTCTATACCATTTGAGTCTATACCAGGTCCAGTCTATAACACTCTGAGTCTATGACAGTCTGAGTCTGTAACAGTCTATAACACACTGAGTCTATAACAGTCTGAGTCTGTAACAGTCTATAACACACTGAGTCTATTACAGTCTATAGCAGTCTGGGTCTATAAAAGTGTATAACAGTTTGAGTCCATAACAGTCTATAACAGTCTGAGTCTGTAACACTCTGAGTCTATTCCAGTCTGAGTCTATAACAGTCTATAACAGTCTGAGTGCATAAGAGTCTATAACACTCTGAGTTGATAACAGTCAATAACATTCTGAGTCCATAACACTCTGAATCTATAACACTTTGAGTCTATACTAGGTCCAGTCTATAACACTCTGAGTCTATAACACTGAGTCTGTAACAGTCTATAACACACTAAGTCTATTAAAGTCTACAACAGTCTGAGTCTATAACAGTCAATAACTGTTTGAGTCTATAACAGTCTATAACAGTCCGAGCCTATAACAGTCTATAATAGTCTGAGTCTATAACAGTCTAGATCTATAACAGTCTAGATCTATAACAGTCGATATCAGTACAAGTCTATAACAGTCTGAGTTTATAACAGTATAAGTCTATAACAGTCTATATCAGTCTATAACTGTCTGAGCCTATAACAGTCTCTAACAGTCTAATTCTATAACAGTCTCTAACAGTCTTAGTCTATAACAGTCAATAACACTCTGAGTCTACAACAGTCTATAACACTCTGAGTCCATAACAGTCTACAACAGTTTGAGTCTATAACAGTCTATAACAGTCTGAGTCTATAAGTCTATAACATTGAATAACAGTCTATAATAGTCTAAGTCTATAACAGTATATAACAGTCTTAATCTATAACAGTCTATAACAGTAGATAACAGTCTGAGCCTATAACAGTCTTTTACAGTCTATAAAATTCTGAGTTTATAACAGTCCATAACAGTCTGAGTCTAAAACAGTCTATAACATGGTATAACAGTCTTTAACAGTCTGAGTCTATAACAGTCTAGATCTACAACAGTTTGAGTCTATAACCATCTATAACAGTCGATAACACTCTGAGCCTATAACAGTCTATAACAGTCTGAGTCTATAACAATCTTGAACAGTCTATAACAGTTTGAGTCCATAACAGTCTATAACAGTCTAGATCTATAACAGTCTATAACAGTATTGTTTTAAATTGGTAGATGCCGCTCATGATCCAGCTGATGTCAATATTGATCACCAAACTTCGACGACTTCAGAAGCTTCAGCGGCAGACATGGAGGACAGCTTGGCTGGGGGGGAGATAATGGAGGGGGTTGAGACAGACAGTCAGGACACAGGAGAGGATGAGGAGGGAGATGAAACGCAAGTACAGGACAAAACAGACTTAACAGAAGAGGAGGAACCAGCAGGTCCAGAAAAGGATGTGACCTCGGAGGAAAACGTGAGCGGCGGGACTGAGGACGCTGTGGAAGATGACAAAGAAGACAAAGATGTAAACACAAGTGACGAAGACGGTGACAAAGATGGTAGTGACAATGTGGATTTCAAAGAGACATCCAAAGGTGAGCAGGAAATGACCTCAATGGAGAGAGAGAGTGACAAAAACATGGGGCCTGACAATCATGACAGCAACGAATGGCTGGACTCCATGGAGGAAGGGGTGGAGCCAGCCATAGGTGAGCAGGAAGGGACCTCAAAGGAGGGGGACAACAGTGACGGGAACGACGACAAAAAAGACAGTGGCGAGAACAACAAAAACACAAGTGACAGTGGGATGAGTCAGTCCGACACTGTTGGTAGTGACGGCGGTGACGGCGGTGACGGCAGTGACGGCAGTGACGGCGGTGACGGCAGTGACAGCAGTGACAGCGGTAATGGCGGTGACAGTGGTAATGGCAGTGATGCCAGTGACAGCGGTGACGGTGGTGACGGCGGTAATGGTGGTAATGGTAGGGACAGCGATGATGGCAGGGATGGTGATGGTGGTAGTAACAATGGTGATGGGGGTGACGCAGGTGAAAATAGTGATGGCAGTGATGGTGGAGATGGCAGTGACAGTCAAAACAGGAGTGGTAGAGAGGACAACCGCGATGACAGTAAAGACAGTGAGGATGAAGGTGACAGGGGTGATGGTGCTGATGGGGGTGACAGGGGTGACGGCGCTGACGATGCTGACGGGGGTGACAGTGCTGACGGGGGAGACGAGGGAGACAGGGGTGACGGCGCTGACAGGGAGGACATTGGTGATGGAGGTGACAGTGCTGAGGCCAGAGACAGCAGTGATGATGATGATGATGATGAAGATGATGATGGAGGTGACAGACAGGACGGTGTTGACAGCAGTGATGGCGGTTATGGCAGTAATGGAGAAACTAATCCTGATGACAGCAGTGACGCCACAGATGGCAGTGACACTGAGTCCGACCACGACATGTTGGACTCTGGAGCTGTGGAGGAGGAGGAGGTGAATCAGGACAAGTCTGTGAAAGCTGACAGCGACCAGCCGGACGTCCAGAGTTCCGACGCTCTGGACTCTCATGAAGGTAAAGAGAATCTAAGAATCTTTCTCATGTGAAACTGTCAGACAGATGCTGAAGGACGAACAAATCCAGATCCAGAACTTCTTTACAGATGGACTTTGGGGGGAGTTTAAGGGTGGAGTTTCGCCTGCTATCATTTTAATTTACAGAGTGTTTGTGAACTTTGACCTTCAGGTCTGACTGTGTCATCACTGAGGCGGGGGTTATTTGTGTGGGTGTGGTCTAACTTCCTTATTGTTTGACTTCTTCTCTGATTTTTGCAGCCACACCAGTTAATCAATTCCACCAATCAGATGACTCCACCCCTGCCACCACAGATGGTAATGCCCTCACTCTGTCATCACACCATTCAGCCTTACGACCAATCACAGTCCAGATCCAGTTAGAGGAAACATTTAAGTCCAGTGTTCTCAGTGTTGAAAGATGATGCTGACCTTTGACCCCAGTCTAACTGTGATTGGTGGTTAAATAAAGACGTTTTTGTTTTTTTTTAACTCTGTGTTTCTGTTTTCAGCCACGCAGTAGATCAGCCTCTGATGTGCGGACGCCCTCTGACTTCAGGTAAAAGAAAAACACAGTTTGTTCTAAAGCTGCTCATTTTGTTCTTATTCAGCAGATCGTTTGTTAATTTGAGTTTTATCAATAAAGGTTGACTGATCACCTAAAACTGAAAAGATGATTCACTGAGGAAAACCCCGAACAAAAACCACAGATTATCATGATCCTCTCTGATCTGCTTCATTCTCCGTTAACTGAAAAAAAAACCCAAAACATCAGTCTAGCAATAAACGAGGCGAGAGCTTTTAGTTCCCTTCGTATTGTTTTTTTGTGTTTGACCGAAAAAAGAAGATTCAAGTGAAGAAAAGAGATCAGACTAAAAAACTGTTTCATCAGTCTGTAAGAACAGACGCACGATTTTCAGACGACCAGTCTGAAACATTCAGTCAACAAAAACAACTATGAGCCAAAACCCCACCATGGTAAAGACCTCAGCAGGCGGTAAATACTTCTCAGTAACTCTGAGTCTGTTCTCAGCAGGCGGTAGATACTTCTCAGTAACTCTGAGGCTGTTCTCAGCAGGCAGTAAATACTTCTCAGTAACTCTGAGTCTGTTCTCAGCAGGCGGTAAATACTTCTCAGTAACTCTGAGGCTGTTCTCAGCAGGCGGTAGATACTTCTCAGGAACTCTGTGGCTGTTCTCAGCAGGCAGTAAATACTTCTCAGTAACTCTGAGACTGTCATCAGCAGGCGGTAAATACTCCTCAGTAACTCTGAGGCTGTTCTCAGCAGGCGGTAAAAACTCCTCAGTAACTCTGAGGCTGTTCTCAGCAGGCGGTAAAAACTTCTCAGTAACTCTGAGACTGTCATCAGCAGGCGGTAAATACTCCTCAGTAACTCTGAGGCTGTTCTCAGCAGGCGGTAAAAACTCCTCAGTAACTCTGAGGCTGTTCTCAGCAGGCGGTAAATACTTCTCAGTAACTCTGAGACTGTCATCAGCAGGCGGTAAAAACTCCTCAGTAACTCTGAGACTGTCATCAGCAGGCGGTAAATACTCCTCAGTAACTCTGAGACTGTCATCAGCAGGCGGTAAATACTTCTTAGGAACTGAGGCTGTTCTCAGCAGGCGGTAAATACTCCTCAGTAACTCTGAGACTGTCATCAGCAGGCGGTAAATACTTCTTAGTAGCTCTGAGACTGTCATCAACAGATGGTAAATAGTGCTCAGACTGTTTTTTCCAGGCTCTCATTGTTTGCTGTTGTCATTTCTTCAGGTTGACCCCTCAATGGATCCTGGTCGCCATGACAACCACTACAACAAGATGGACCCTGCCCATCAGTCCGTTGTCAGTCTTTTCTTCGATACTTTGCCGCTCATCCCCGTCTCTCTCTCTCTCTCTCTCTCTTCGGTTCATCTCACTCTCTGCCTGTCTCACACTCATCCCTGTTCATCTTACCCCCTGTTACTTTGTCCCACTCTAATCATGTCTCACTCCTCATTCGTCTTTGTCTAACTCTCAGTCGTCTTTGTTCTTCTGTCTGTAAAGTTCAGTCACATGATTATATTGATGAAGATCATTGATTTTTGGTTATCAATTGTTTGTTTGCTAATAAACGTTAAATTGTCAGAAAAAAATGTTCACTCCGTTGCACTCTGTGTCACTCCATCTCTCTGAGTTTGATGTTTAGAATTTCTGAACTCAGTCCATGAATTCACTATTGATGACCAGAACATGATCAATACAGAAAAACATCTTTACATATTGATCAGATTATCCCAGTTCAATAAAAGTGACACAAGCAGACACTGATGGTTTCTTCAAAGATGACCTTTGACCCCAAAGAAACAATCTGACCTCAGTGACCTCTTTGTAAAAAGAAGCTCCAGGTTCATGATCGAGTGTCCTCTGTAAACCTTAGTGGACCCAGCAGACCAGGTTCTGGAGACCTTAGTGAACCCAGCAGACCAGGTTCTGGAGACCTTAGTGAACCCAGCAGACCAGGTTCTGGAGACCTTAGTGAACCCAGCAGACCAGGTTCTGGAGACCTTAGTGAACCCAGCAGACAAGGTTCTGTAGACCTTAGTGGACCCAGCAGACTAGGTTCTGTAGACCTTATTGAACCCAGCAGACCAGGTTCTGGAGACCTTAGTGAACCCAGCAGACCAGGTTCTGGAGACCTTAGTGAACCCAGCAGACAAGGTTCTGTAGACCTTAGTGGACCCAGCAGACCAGGTTCTGTAGACCTGATTGAACCCAGCAGACCAGGTTTTTGAGACCTTAGTGAACCCAGCAGACCAGGCTCTGCAGACCTAAATGAACCCAGCAGACCAGGTTTTTGAGACCTAAGTGAACCCAGCAGACCAAGTTCTGGACACCTCAGTGGACCCAGCAGACCAGGTTCTGGAGACCTTAGTGGACCCAGCAGACCAGGTTCTGTAGACCTTAAATAATCCAGCAGACCAGGTTCTGGAGGCCTAAGTTAACCTAGCAGAAAAGGGTTCTGTAGACCTTAGTTGACCCAGCAGACCAGGTTCTGGAGACCTTAGTGGACCCAGCAGACCAGTTTCTGTAGGCCTTAGTGAACCCAGCAGATCAGGTTCTGGAGACCTTAGAGAACCCAGCAGACCAGACCTTAGTGAACTCAGCAGATCAGGTTCTGGAACGCTTGGTAAACCCAGCAGACCAGATTCTAGAGACCTTAGTTGATCCAGCAGACCAGGTTTTGGAGACCTTAGTGAAACCAGCAGACACGGTTCTGGAGACCTTATTGGACCCAGCAGATCAGGTTCTGGAGACCAAAGTAAACCAAGCAGACCAGATTCTGGAGACCTTAGTGGATCTAGCAGACCAGGTTTTGAAGACCTCAGTGAACCCAGCAGACACGGTTCTAGAGACCTAATTGAACCCAGCGGACCAGGTTCTGCAGGCCTTATTGGACCCAGCAGACCAGGTTCTGTAGACCTTAGTGAACCCAGCAGACCAGGTTTTGAAGACGTTAGAGAACCCAGCAGACCAGGTTCTGTAGACCTTAGTGAACCTAGCAGACTAGGTTCTGAAGACCTTAAATAACACAGCAGACCAGGTTTTGGACACCTTAAAGAATCCATCAGACCAGGTTCTGTAGACCTTAGTAATCCCAGTAGAACAGGTTCGGTAAACCTGAGTAATCCCAGTAGAGAAGGTTCTGAAGACCTAGGTGGACCCAGCAGACAAGGTCCTTGAGACCTAAGTGAACCCAGCAGACCAGTTTTTTGAGACCTACGTGGACCCAGCAGACCAGGTTCTGTAGGCCTGAGTGGACCCAGCAGACCAGGTTCTGGAGGCCTTTTTGGACCCAGCAAAACAGGTTCTGTAGACCTTAGTGGACCCAGCAGACCAGGTTCTGCAGACCTTAGTGGACCCAGCAGACCAGGTTTTTGAGACCGAAGTGGACCCAGCAGACCAGGTTCTGGGAACCTTAGTGGACCCAGCAGACCAGGTTCTGGAGGCCTATTTGGACCCAGCAGACCAGGTTCTGGAGGCCTTTTTGGACCCAGCAGACCAGGTTCTGTAGACCTTAGTGGAACCAGCAGACAAGGTTCTGTAGACCTTAGTGGACCCAGCAGACCAAGTTCTGCAGACCTTAGTGGACCCAGCAGACCAGGTTCTGTAGGCCTTAGTGGACCCAGCAGACCAGGTTCTGTAGACCTTAGAGAATTCAGCAGACAAGACCATACTGAACCCAGCAGACCAAGTTCTGGAGACCTTAGTGGATCCATCAGACCAGGTTTTGGAGACCTTAGTGAACCCGGCAGACAAGGTACTGGAGACCTTAGTGGACCGAGCAGACCAGGTTCTGTAGACCTTAGTGGACCCAGCAGACAAGGTCCTTGAGACCTAAGTGAACCCAGCAGACCAGTTTTTTGAGACTTAAGTGGACCCAGCAGAACAGGTTCTGTAGACCTTAGTGGACCCAGCAGACCAGGTTCTGCAGACCTTAGTGGACCCAGCAGACCAGGTTCTGTAGTCCTTAGTGGACCCGGCAGACCAAATTCTGTAGACCTTAGAGAACCCAGCAGACCAGAGCTTAGTGAACCCAGTAGACCAGGTTCTGGGGACCTTTGTGGACCCATCAGACCAGGTTCTGGAGACCTTTGTGAACCCAGCAGACCAGGTTTTAGAGTCTGACAGTCAAATCCTGTCACTGATCAAGGATTTCAGCTGATCTACAGGTCAGGATCTCTTTGGTCCTGTTTTTGGGGTCCATTAGTCCAGGACTCTTCTCCTACAGAGCCATGCTGTTTACAGAATCTTGTTCTGGATCATCTGAGGGTCTTTTCTGATAAAGTCCTGGTCTCGATGGACACAGATGTTGGTCCTAGACCAGGGGCCTCATTTAGCAAACATGCGTAGAAAAGGTTCTAAATTCTGGCGTAGGAATAAAATTTAGAGTGTGCGTAAGTACAAAAAAATCCATATTTATCAAACGTGCGGACACACGTAAGTAATCAGTGATGATAAATCCCACCTGTTCTTTATTACTGTGCTCGTGCATGGTTTGGGTCATTTGCATTCAGAAACGCCTCCAATTGACAATATATGGCATCAACAATCCCTTTAAAAATGCGTGAATGAATTTTTTTCCTCCCCCTGGATGTGCACACCAGGTTCTGTAGACCTTAGTGAACCCAGCAGACCAGGTTTTGGAGACCTTAGTGAAACCAGCAGACACGATGTGCACACTCACAGAGCTGTTCTGCAGAATGAATAAGTCTTGCGTTCAACAACAGAAACAAATGTGCATCGCAGATTATTTTTGCATTGATTGAATGAAATCTTTTCCTGTTGACAAATCTGAATTTATTGTGTGAACGTGCTTTTATTGCAATGTGAGTGCAATCTATGGCTCCATTTATGTTTGGGAATCCGGCGATGGTGTGAAATCCTCGTTTTATTTCGGCTTGTTGCTGATGTGTGTTTGGAAACTGAATGTAAATTGAGGCCAGAGAAATTATTACATCTAACTCTGCCGGCTTGATTATGCTTAGCATTGGCTGCGAAATATCGCATATGTCTCCAATCTTACGTTGAAGTGTTCCGGTTAGGGTGGACAGGAACTGGATGTGCGCTGGGATGGCTTTGGTGCATTTTGTTTTTCACTCCGACACGGGTCGTAAATCACGGCATAAATCCATTAAAATGTTTTGGGGAAGCGGTACCTGCTGAGAATGCTGCTGTTCTCACTGAACAGATCAGCACGCTCTTTGAAAACGCGCTCCCTGCGGAGGAGCAGACGCTTCTCCAAGTCATCCAGTAGCGCAAAATAAACCATGATACTCTTATTTGTACTTGTATGACTTCTTTTGAGGTTTTCCTGTCACAGCAGATTTTTATAGCTTGTCACACCAATCATTTAAAATGTCTGCTAAATTACTAGTTGATACATTTTGTACAGAGGCAACAGAGAACATGTGTGAATTTTGAGATTGCTGAACGCTGTGACTCCTTTAATGGGTTCTCTTTGTAGTTTCACTGTCCTACCACTAGGTTTTGTGTGTACGCATGTTCGTACGTACTCATTACGCACACATCTGTGCGTATGCATGGTTGATAAATCAGGTTTAGCATTAATGGAACCTTTGCAGATGAACTGGACTCTGATGGTCTCCAGACCTTCAGGGGTGCTGGTTCTGGGATCTGAGAACAACTCTTATAGAAGAGGATTTCAGAGTCCAGGATTTCAGAGTCCAGGATTTCAGAGTCCAGGATTTCCAAGAAGAAGGTCAGATTCTGATCCATTAGACCTCAGTCCATTTGAACTGGACTCAGGTTCAGAGGTCTCTGATGGTCCCTGGGTCACCTGATCTTTAACCCCCCCCCCCCCCGCTCAGGTGTGTGAGTCTCAGGAAGGTAAAAGTCTTCTCACAGGTATCAGCCCATTAAGTTTGTTTTAACACACACACACACACACACACACACACACACACACACACACACACACACACACACACACACACACACACACAGTGATTCGTTGTTGAACTCAGCTGTATTCCCCTCAGCCAATCAGGAGTCCTTTGGAAACTAATACTGTTTATCTGCCAGGACATGACCCCATCTGTTTGTGTGTGTGTGTGTGTGTGTGTGTGTGTGTGTGTGTGTGTGTGTGTGTGTGTGTGTGTGTAGACTCCCAGGTCAGTTTTCATTCATGGTCTTGGGGAAACTTAGTGAAAAAAAAAAAATCACTCTTCCAAACCAACAACCTGCGGCGCGGGTAACCTGACTCCTCCCCCCTCAACCGCACCTGACTGAGTTTTACCTGAGAGGAGAGAGACACATTGACAACCTGCAGAATTACTGAAGGTTAGAAAAAAAAGGTTTTAAATAAGGTTCATAAAAACAAAACAAAAAAACCTGTGCAAATGTGCAAAAAACACATGAAGGACGTGGATCAGTCAAAGAAAAGTTGTGATATCACATAATTTTTCTTTCATCGGTTAACAACATGTCAGAACATCAGTGTCTGTATAGACACTTCATAACATTAAAGTATAACACCTTTATAACCATTTCCTTTATACTCACGGCTTATAAGACTTAATAATCACTATGACAGCAACTGTATTAACATTTACTCATTAATAATTACCATCTTTATGTGTAGTAAATAATAATAATAATAATAATATCATTATAATTATTATAGATAAAAACAAACTCTAAGTTCATGTATTTTTCAGAATGACTCTTATATCTGCTGAAGGACATTCTTAATGAGTATAAAAAACTGTAAAAATGGTTAATTACTGTTATTTATAAGGACAGTCTTAATAATTTTAAAAAATGTAATTACAGTTCATTACTGTTATGTATAAGGACAGTCTTAAAAATTATAACAAACTGTAATAACGGTTAATTACTGTTATTTATAAGGACAGTCTTAATAATTATTAAAAACTGTAATAACAGTTAATGACAGTTATTTAAAAGGACATTCTTAATAATTATAAAAACTGTAATTACAGTTGATTACTGTTATTTATAACGAAAGTCTAAATAATTATAAAAACTGTAATTACAGTTAATTATTGTTGTTGATAAGGACAGTCTTAATAATTAAAAAAAACTGTAATTACAGTTAATCATTGTTATTTATGAGGACATTCATAATAATTATAAAAATTGTAATAACAGTAAATTACTGTAATTTTTAAGGACATTCTTAATCATTAAAAAACTGTAATTACAGTTCATAACTGTTGTTTATAGGGACAGTCTTAATAATTATAACAAACTGTAATTTCAGTTAATTACTGTTATTTATAAGGACATTCTTAAAAATTATGAAAAATGTAATTAAAGTTCATTACTGTTATGTATAAGGACAGTCTTAAAAATTATAACAAACTGTAATAACGGTTAATTACTGTTATTTATAAGGACAGTCTTAATAATTATAAAAACTGTAATAACAGTTAATGACAGTTATTTAAAAGGACATTCTTAATAATTATAAAAACTGTAATTACAGTTGTTTACTGTTATTTATAACGAAAGTCTAAATAATTATAAAAACTGTAATTACAGTTAATTATTGTTGTTGATAAGGACAGTCTTAATAATTAAAAAAAACTGTAATTACAGTTAATCATTGTTATTTATGAGGACATTCATAATAATTATAAAAATTGTAATAACAGTAAATTACTGTAATTTTTAAGGACATTCTTCATCATTAAAAAACTGTAATTACAGTTCATAACTGTTGTTTATAGGGACAGTCTTAATAATTATAACAAACTGTAATTTCAGTTAATTACTGTTATTTATAAGGACATTCTTAAAAATTATGAAAAATGTAATTAAAGTTCATTACTGTTATGTATAAGGACAGTCTTAAAAATTATAGCAAACTGTAATGACGGTTAATAACTGTTATTTAAAAGGACATTCTTAATAATTATAAAAACTGTAATCACAGTTAATTACTGCTTTTTACAAGGACAGTCTTAATAATCATAAAAATTGTAATTACAGTAAATAACTGTTATTTATTAGGACATTTTTAATTATTTAACAAAAAACCTGTAGTTACGGTTAATTACTGTTACTTATAAGGACAGTCTCAATATTAAAAAAACCTGTAATTACAGTTAATTACTGTTGTTTATAAGGATAGTCTTATTAATTAAAAAACTGTGATTACAGTTAATTACTGTAATTTATAACGACATTCTTAATATTGAAAAACTGTGATTACAGTTCATTACTGTTGTTTATAAGGACAGTGTTAATAATTATAACAAACTGTAGTTACAGTTAATTATTGTTATTGTTATTTATAAGGACATTCTTAATAATTATAAAAACTGTGATTACAGTTAATTACTATTATGTATAACGACAATCTTAAAAATTATAACAAATTGTAATGACGGTTAATTACTGTTATTTATAAGGACAGTTTAATTATTTAAAAAAACTGTAACTGCAGTTAATTACCGCTGTTTATAAGGACAGTCATAATAATTATAAAAACTGTAAATACAGTGAATAACTGTTATTTATGAGGACATTTTTAATTATTTAAAAAAAAAACTGTAGGTACGGTTAATTACTGTTACTTATAAGGACAGTCTCAATAATTTAAAAAAAACTGTAGTTACAGTTAATTACTTTTGTTTATAAGGATAGTCTCAATAATTAAAAACTGTGATCACAGTTCATTACTGTTGTTTATAAGGACAGTCTTAATAATAATAACAAACTGTAATTACAGTTATTTACTGTTATTTATAAGGACATTCTTAATAATTATAAAACTGTAATTACAGTTCATTACTGTTGTTTATAAGGACATTCTTAATAATTATAAAAACTGTGATTACAGTTTATTACTGTTGTTTATTAGGACAGTCTTAATAATTATAACAAACTGTAATTACAGTTATTTACTGTTATTTATAAGGACATTCTTAATAATTATAAAAACTGTGATTACAGTTTATTACTGTTGTTTATTAGGACAGTCTTAATAATTATAACAAACTGTAATTTCAGTAAATTACTGTTATTTATAAGGACATTCTTAATAATTATAAAAACTGTAATTACAGTTTATTACTGTTGTTTATTAGGACAGTCTTAATAATTATAACAAACTGTAATTTCAGTAAATTACTGTTATTTATAAGGGCAGTTAAAAATTATAAAAAAAACTGTAATGACAGTTAATTACTGTTATTTATAAGGACAGTCTTAATAATTAAAAAACTGTAATTACAGTTAATAACTGTTATTTATAAGGACAGTCTTAATAATTTAAAAAAACTGTAATTACAGTTAATAACTGTCATTTATAAGGACGGCCTCTTGATGGAGGTGATACTGTGTCCTTTGAAATTGGGTCTGGATTTAGAAGCTCAGACTCTGATGTAAGGCGTCCTGGGACCAGTTCTGAGATGTTCTGTTGAAAATGTCAGGAGTGAGTGGAGGATTTCCCGGGTCTATGGACTCTCTGGGTTCCTTGGCTCATCTGTCCCACAGCTCTTAGTTTCAGAGGATCAAAGATGTTGGCGTGCCAAGTCATTCAGAACCGAGCTGGACCAGCCGAAACCCTAAAGTGCCCCTAATTCCTCTTCTGGACCTGATCCCAGAGCCCACTGCAGCTCCTGAGGGATTCTGGTTTCAGGACTTCCTGCTGCAGGTGGATCCGGAATCTCTTTCTCTCCTGGTTCCCACAAAACTTAAAAATAAAGGAACATGCCATCAAAATTTAATATGAACACCTGACAAAAAAAACCCACAGAGAGACGGTGAGACTGACGGTCAAATAAGGAGATAGATGAATATTTAAAACATACAGGTATAATATTGTCCGTCACAGTAAAACCAGCTGTTTCCTCTTTTTACACATTTATCAGAACTTGTTGTTACTAGCAGTATTATTATAATAATTGTTATGTTTAAAACCATTATTATTATTATTAGTAGTAGTAGTAGTAGTAGTATTAGTTCAAGTAATAGTATTAAAGTAGTAATAGTAGTAATAGGGGTGGTCTTGTTTTCGGTATTCTCGATACGCCACAGTGTTCCTAAATCTAGGAGGTCAAAGTTCACCACATCGTGTCGTTTTTTCATTTCTTCTTCCTGCAGACTGAGTCTCGACTTTCAGCTGAACAAAAAACGACTGTTAGAGAAATTAATTAGGCCTGAAACCTGATCAACCGAGGAGGAGAGGAGAGCAGAGGAGAGAAGGAAAGGAGAGAAGAAGTGAGGAGGAGTGAGGATGGATATGAAAGTCAGGAGAGAGAGCGAGAGCAGGTCTGTTAATGTCACTCAAACTCTCTTATTAAGAATCTTAATTTTAAAGAAACACAACAAGTGTTCACAAAAACACGGGTCCAGACCATCCTCTATGTAGACCCTGGATCAGAGTTAGACCACGTCATGTAGGATCAGACCCACATCCCCAAATCTTCAACCACAGGAGTGAAACTCTTTAAAAGCTTTTATCAGGTGACAGAGAGGAGAGGAAGAAACCTGGAGGAGGACCAGACTAATATCAGATAATATGGGGGGGGGGTCAGACTGACTGAGATTTACTCTGTTGACAATTCTTTCATTTGACACTCTCTGTGTACTTTTACTCTTATTGTATATTTTTGCTCAAACCACTCTGGCATGTGGCTTTACTGAGCATGCTCAGACTGTATCTGTGTGTGTGTGTGTGTGTGGGGGGGGGGGACTTTTACCTCACAGAATGAGGCGTCAGTTCAGTCCTGCTGCTGCGCTCTTATTGGACGGGAGGGTTCACCTGTTAAGGGGATGATTTAAATACAGCGGTATTACCACACAGGAGATAATAAGTACATGTTAGTTCAAGAAGTACTCTGTACTGCTTATTACAGATTCTGAGTAAAGACCTCAGCAGGAACTGAAGTTAACAAAGTAGAGTTGTAGTATTTTTGTACTCTGTGTAGCCCCTCCCCCCCTCTGAGAGTATAAATACTGCAACTGTAGTTCTGCAGCTTCAGATGAGCTGAATCACTGCAGGATGCAGTCACTGTAAGTACTGCTTATTAATACTTCACACTATTGTTTCAACTTTTTATACCATCATTACTGCCTTTATCTGAGTATTAGTAGTTTGCTTTGATTTTGTTTTCTGATACTAAATACTCCTGCATACAAATTCTTATACAACTACAAAACTACTACTCTTTCCTACCATTATACTACAAGATGAACTACTTTAACATGTTGGAACAAAAACATTTTTGAAGTACTCTATACTTGAGAAAATACGTTTACGAATAGAAAATGTGATTTAAATACAACAGAAGTACTGTTGCACATATACACAGTAACTGTTCTTGTTTGAATAGTAGTAGCAATACTTATTTTAAATCTCTGCCCTTCAAAATATTAGAAATAAGTTTAATTACATACTGATCAAATATACTTGTATTAAAATATTATAACTTTGTAACACAAGTTCATTTTGTACTTAATAATACTTAGTATAAGTGTATTTTCTAAATAACAGCAGTACTGTAGTAATACTTTTGTACACTGTTTATAACAGAGATGCTGCACCAATATTATGTATTTAGGAAAGAACAATAGTACTGCAGTAATAATTAGTATTTCAAATATAACAGTAATACTGCAGTAATCCATTGTTAAAATATTTTTAATGGCAGTACTGCAGTAATATTTTGTATTTCTGCTTGTGGTAATAAAACTCCAGTCTTTCTTTGTACTAATGTATATAAAGAAAGTACTTCAGTTTAACTCTTAGCACTGCACTGTGAATTTGACCATGGTACCGCAGTTATTATTTGTCCTGGGGTTTATACAGAAGAACTGCAGTAATACTGTGTTTTTTCTTGATAACAGTAATACTGCAGTAATACTGTGTTTTTCTTTAAAACAGTAGCACTGCACTTATTCTGTGTTTTTATATACAACAGGAGTACTTCAGTTATGTGTTTTTTCTTTATAACAGACATACTGCAGTTATACTGCAGTAATAATGCAGTAATTAGTAGTACATGTGTTTATACAGAACTGCAGTAATACTGTATTTTTATATATATAACAGTAATACTGCAGTAATACTGTGTTTTTTCTACACAACAGCCATACTGCAGTAATAAGTAGTACATGTGTTTATTCAGAACTGCAGTAATACTGTGTTTTTATATATAACAGTGGTACTGCTGCATTAATACCGTGTTTTTATAATAGTCGTGCTGCAGTAACACTGTGTTTTTATATATAACAGTAGTACTGCAGTAATACTGTGTTTTTATATATAACAGTAGTACTGCAGTAATACTGTGTTTCTATATATAACAGTAGTACTGCAGTGATTTTTGACCTCAGATTATTGATTGTCCCTGTTGTTATGGCCCTGAATTGATCAGGGACCTGAATTGATCAGGGATCTGAATTGATCAGGGACCTGAATTGATCAGGGATCTGAATTGATCAGGGATCTGAATTGATCAGGGACCTGAATTGATCAGGGATCTGAATTGATCAGGGATCTGATTGGTCTCTGTTCCAGGACTCTGTTGTTCACCGGGTTGCTGGTGGTCTCTCTGGCAGTGATGGTCTTCTCGGCTCCAGTCGAAGGTAAAAAAAAACTCGGATTTCTTCTGAAGATTCTGTAAGATTCTCTGAGAACGTTCACAGGAGTCTGTTTTTGTAATTCCAGAGAAGGAGCAGGAGGAGGTGGAGGTGGAGGTGGAGGCCACAGATGGAGGAGAAGGGGAGCTGTCTGAGGAGGAGGAGGGTAAGAAACCTGCTCTTATTGTTAAAAAATTGATTGGGGATTTATTCAGCAGATCAAACTGATTGATTGGTTATTGCATTGAAAGTGGGAATCGAAATAAAATTTTTGAACAGCTGGAGAACTTAATATGTGTCCTGGAGAGAAAATACCAATACACACACATACATATACACAATCACACACACACACACACTTTTTGTGAATGCTGATATGGAATGTGATTGGAGAATTGATCAGCTAATGTCATTATTACTATAACAGGTTAACTCGTTAATAATCCATAATCATAAAGAGTCATAAACGCTGCCTACATCATGACTACTTCAAACATTTAAACTGTGTGTTAAAACATCCTTACCCAGAAACATTTCTCTTCCTTTCCAGATGATGATGACTCCAAGAGTCAGGATAGGATTGATGAGGGTGAGAGGCTAAATCACACTGACCTTCGACCTTTGATTAACCTGTTTAAACACATTAAATCAGAGCGTAAACAACCTCTAAAAACCAAAACATGATGGGTTAATTCAACAAGTACTCTGTATCACTCATTACACTTTCTAAGTCTGCAGGAACTGAAGTTAACAAAGTAGAGTTGTATTATTTTGGTACTCTGTGTCATATCTCTGTCATATCTAAACATCCTTAAACACAGCCTTTATCATATCAGAGCATAAATAATCTCTAAAAATAAAACCAAATAAAGAGTGTCAAACTTAGAAAAATAGAAACAACTGCTGAGCTGTGATTGATGTCCTTATACAGAAAAGTCATGAAACTTCACTGACAAAGCCAAGATAATATACAGCAGGCCCGTATAAATGCACTGCAAACTCATGCTTATACACTGCGGAGTTATTAAAATACTCTATTAGTCATATAAATAAACTGCAAAGTCAGGATCACATGTACTACAGGAGTAAATTAATAAACTCAGGAGTCATATTAATACTGCACCTTCATGGTTTTAAACTGCATTGTACTGTAATCCAGAATGATACTACACTGCAGTGTCATAACTGTAAACTGCAGTTATATTTATATACTGCAGAATGATGGGCAGTGTGTGTGTGTGTGTGTGTGTGTGTGTGTGTGTGTGTGTGTGTGTGTGTGTCAATCAAACATGATTGAAAAAGTAAATTACTCACATCTGAGACAAATTCAGGAAAATGTGAACCCATAGTTTCTGCGTGAGATTAACTAAATTCTGACCTAAGAATTATAACCTCTCCTTAATGGTTAATCTGAGCTTCCTGACTCCAACACTCAAACAGCGTTTGAAGTGATAGCCACAGCAGAGCAGGGTAACTATAGTTACATATGTAGTAACAATAGTATATACATATGGTTATATATAGCTATTTATAGTTATATATATGATGTCTTTGGGGGCAACTCTGCTCTGCTGCTTAACTGATCAACCACAATAGAGGGAACGGGCCAAAATAACAGGCTCTGCCCTCTACTGGCCTCTGAAAATTTCCAAAGAGGTGGCCAATCAGAAGAAAGAAAGCTTGTGGAGGAGGCGGCATAAAGAGACAGCAGCTAAAAAGAAGCGTTTCAGAAAGAGGCTGAAATAATATTTTAATACACCTCAGTGGGAAATTTGAGGCTTTTTTGATATGAAAATCACATAAATATATTTAAGAATAAAGAATAGGGTTATTTATCCCTCCTTTGTCATGTCTCAAAAAGTAATCTACTATTTACAAAAGAACTGTAGAGTCTGATGGCTGGAGAGGGATCAGAGAGGAAATATAGTCTAAAAAAATGCATGTACCCCCCCCCCCTTAATTGTACTATGGAGTCATATTTTTATAAGTAAAAGTCATATACCATACTGCAGATTCATACTTTTGTACTTCATAGTCAGTTTGTTGTTCGGTTGGTTTTTAAGAATCTTCATCAACAAGTAAATGATTCACCATGACCACCTGATACGCCCCCTTTTCCCTCCCCCCATACCCCTCTCCCACCATAGCAGGAGTTGTTGGTGTGCAGCAGACCACCGCCATGGCGGCAGTGCCTGGAGGTTCAGGTGAGTCAGCTCTGATCAGATTTCTGTCTTTTCAGGCTCAGGTTTTATCCGGATTAACTCAAGGATATTCAGACAAGGATTAACCTGATTTGGTCTGATCCATTTCCTGAAGTTTCTCCTTTCCTCTGATGGACATGGTGATTTAGTATCCATACTACTGTAACACTCGAGCTAAACAGAGAATCTGTAGAAAGTCTTGTTTTACACAATTTTAATTCATCCCCTCAGTGCCAACCCACATCTAATATCCACGGTTGACAGAAAGAACATAGATAACAGGTTCAAATGGAACTTTGACAGGTCACATTCAACTTAACCTTTAGATATAACACCAAGTTTAGAGCTGATACTGTTCCAATCCAACTGCCATTCTTAAAATCCACTGAACCAAAATGGTGGCCACACCTGAGGGAATAAGACAACCGGACAGCCATGGCCGTACAAAGGACCTTGACCTATGACAAGGGCCACTGCCTGAAGGAGAACCATGACCTCAGAGGGAACAATGACCTTAGAGAAAAAGACGGCCTAAAAGACAGCATTGGTCCCTCAGAGAACTTTGAAAGTTCCATCGCCTCAGAGAGGACAGAGGCCTTTAAAAAGGGTCACCATTCAATGGCAGCAGCTCGAACAGAGAGTGACTTAGGTGCAAAGTGTCCTTTATGATGTTTTTGGCCTTTTGGAGACTGCAGTAACTGTGCAGTTCTCCCAGAGTAGGGAGAGGGCAGCCAACGATCTTCTGGGCCATGTTGATCACCCTCTGGAGTGCTTTCCTCTGAGCTTCTGTGCAGCTTGTTGAAGAACATGATCCTCACATAAACCCCAGGTTCCTCCAGATGAGACAGGGCACGGTGAAGCATATAGAGGACAGCATCATCCACCCCAATGTGTTCTTTGTATGTAAACTGCAGGGGGTCCAGTTTGTCTTTGACCTCAGACCTCAGAAGGTGTAGAATCAGCTGCTCCAGGGTTTTCATGATGTGTGAAGTGAGGGCCACTGGTCTGTAGTCATTGAGTTCAGCAGGACATTTTGTTTTTGGTACTGGCACAATGCAGGATCTTCCACAGAGCAGGTACCCGCCCCAGCTGTAGACTCAGGTTGAAGATCTTGTGGAGAGGTTGACACAGTTCCGCAGCACAGTCTCTAAGCAGCTTTGAACACACACCATCTGGACCAGCTGCCTTCCCAGGACAAAGTCTTCCAAACTCCATCCTCACCCCTGTTTCTGTGACAGATAAGGACTGGTGTTCTAGGAGGGAGGAGCTACAGTGAAGATTTCCATGTGCTAAGGAGAGGAAGGTGGAGTAGCAGTGGAAGTGGGTGTGACAGCAGTGTCAAATCTGTTGAAGAACAGGTTGAGTTCATCAGCTCTTTTCACCTCACCCACCACTGGCTGTCTTTTCTTTTTACTGCTGTGTCCAGAGATGGACCTGATTCCTCTCCACACCCCCACAGATGTTGCTGTCTTGTAGATTCCTCTCTATCTTCTTTTTGTACTCCAGCTTCATCTTCATCACCATCTTCATCACCATCTCTAAAAACTTTCTTTCTCTGGTTAAGGATTGTTTTTATGCCACTTGTGATCCAGGGTTTGTTGTTGGGGAAACAGGGAACAGCCTTTGTCGGTATAACTGTGTCTCAACAGAAGTTGATATATTCAGTAAAACAGTCGGTCTGTCTGTCAACGTCCTCATACTGTCCTCATCTGTTCCAAGCAGCACATTCTTGTCTGTAGATTTAAAGCAGCCTCCCAACTCAGACTCTCTCCTCCCCCAGCCTCGCTTTGAGATCCTGTCAATAAAATTCATGTACAGGGGCAGACCTGGTCGAGGCTAACACCCATCAGGAACTGATCTGACTCAGAGGACAGAAGTGAGATTTAGACACAGCTGGAGTTATACAAGTGCAGGGTGTTTTGTGTCTCAGGGTGAATGATGAAACCAGGCCATTCATACAATCAGCATAAGGCACATCACAAGAACCCAGCGAATCAGTGTACTTGAATAAGAAAACTATACCTTCTTCTTGGAGCCAGACCGAGGAGGGAGGCAAGTGGTTGCGCCAGAGAGTCAGATCAGGAAGAGTGTAAAACAGGAAATGCTCATCCACCACAACAAGAGGTGTGGTGGTCAGGGGAGGTGAATACTCAGAACTTTGAACCAGAATCAGCTTCACTCTGATTCTGACATGAATTAATGTTGATCATGTGAAAATACAATACTTTAGTCAATCCAAAATGTCACATTTACTTCGATAACAGATTACACACTTATAAAATCTGTGTTAAATGTTCAGCTTCCAGCATTCTTTCAGTGGGAGGCGGAACAAACGATGGAACAGCAGGAGGTTCTGTAGGAGGAGGAACAAAAGACGGAACAGCAGGAGGTTCTGCAGGAGGAGTAACATATGATGGAACTGCAGGAGGAGGAGCAAATGACGGAACAGCAGGAGGTTCTGCAGGAGGAGGAGGAACAAATGATGGAACTGCAGGAGGTTCTGCAGGAGGAGGAGGAACAAATGATGGAACTGCAGGAGGAGGAACGAAGGACGGAACAGCTGGAGGTTCTGCAGGGGGAGGAACAAATGATGGAACAGCAGGAGGTTCTGCAGGAGGAGGAACAAATGAGGGAATGGCAGGAGGCTCTGCAGGTAAACAAAACTGAATAAATTGTCAGACAGTGACAGGTAAGTGTTTTAAAAAGCAGTAGAGAAGTAAATCAGTTTTTTCCTGTGACCTAATTTCTATCTTGAGTTTGCCCTCTAGTCCGAACAAAATACCTGATAAAAAAGAAAATGTAAAAGGAAATTTTTGGTTTATCATGAACCAAACAAAAAGTCTGCACACACAAGTCTGAGCCCATAACATTTTAAAGCCGCGTTCAGACCAGCCGCGACCTGACGCGACTTGGCGACCGCCGGCTGCCTGCGACGCGACCTGACGCGACCTAGCGACCGGTTGCCAAGGCGCGTCCCCGAGGTCGCGTCGCCGAGGTCGCAGGACGCCAAGTCGCGTCGCTCCCAAAGTTCAAATATTTGAACTTTGGGAGCGACTCCGTGCCGCGACAGCCAATCAGGGCTCTGCTGACGTCAACAAACCGGCGAAACAAGGAAGAGGAGAAGAAGAATCACAATGGAGGAGCAGTTAATCACATCCGTTAGCTACCACCCGGTGCTACACGACGTGGGTTGCGGGCTGTACCGCTACGCAACGCCAAAGAAGAAGCATGGGGGAAGGTGTCCCGTGATGTCGGGCTTTCTGGTAAGTTTGTTTGTTTATTTATTTATTTCAGTGAGCGGACTGTTTTATGAAAACAGAGCTAACTGCCCCTGCTTGCTAGGCTACATGTTTCAACGTATGTGTGTGTGTCTTTGCAGTGGATGTGTGCCGCAAGCGGTTGAAGGGGCTTAGGGACGTTTATATGAGGGACAGACAGATAGACAGGCGCTCCGAAGCTGAGATGGAGCGCCTGTATTTCGTGTCCAGGCGGGAGATGCTGCTTCCCACTCGGGCGAGGAGGTCCTCGAACTGCGCCGTCGACACACGGAAATACCGCTGGAAGCGGCCGTCGTCCAGGCGGAGTTCCTGGAGCAAGCGGTGAAATTCACCCAGCTCCGTCCTCCTCCGGATGGTTTCATGCACCCATAAACGCCGGCGGCGTCTACTGCGTATGTACAGATATGCGGCAGCACTGATGAACTGAAAACTGAGCTAGTGACATGGATGACGTCACCGGCGACCAGCCGCGACCTGCGACTGCAGCTTTGGACCCGGTGTGAACACACCAGAGCACCCCGCGACGCGACGTGACCGACCAAAGCGACGCGACGTGGTCGCGTTTGGTCTGAACGCGGCTTAAGACTTTAAAACAGTCTAAATCTATAACAGTCATAATCTAATACATTCTAGGTCTATAACAGTCTGAGTTGATTACAGTCCAAGAGCCAATCCCAATCGTCAGTCTTTCCCCTCCCCCTTGGCCCTCTGTTTTGAAGGCCATGCCGGAGGTTGAAAACACGTCTACGAAACAAGACGCCACTCGATTCCTGCTACGTCATCATGCTTGGCCGCTTGCTGGCTGTGTTGTTGGCTGATACAACAATACCGGTAAACAAGTTGAAACTGTTGAACTACTGTTATAAGGTTAAGCTGTTGTTAGCTGTTGTCAGCAATAGCAGTTGAAAACAATGCATAACATGGTATTTGACTCATATAAGAGCAAATGTAGAAGCTCCTGCTGTAGCTTCTATGTTAGAGGTTACTAACATTCTGTCTAATTATTCATGAAATGCAGTACATCGAAGTCAAGTCAGTCTGCGGTGAATTTGTCACCCGAGTCTGACATCAGTGTAGCTATCATTAGCTATAACTTTGATAGCTAGCTTGTCATAACAAGCAAAGTTAAAACGCAAACAATTCAAAACATTGCTAATATTTACGAGGAGTAGCAAAGAATTGTCTGACTCTTTGTTAAAAAGTTTCATTACAATGAAAATCAAAATCTTCCAGCTTCCAAGTGAGGTCCCGGTTTGTCTTCGTTTCAAGGGGTGCATTCCCCTTCCCCTTAACCTTATGGAGAATTGGGACACCCCATGGCTTGACGTGAACGTGCAAAACCGAGGGCTAAGGGGTAGGATGAGGGCTAAGGGTTACAACTGGTATTGGCCCCAAGTCTATAACAGTCTTAGTCTATTTGTTAATGAGTCTTATGTAACCTGTTTTTTTGGTTGCAGGGTTTGAAGGAGTGGAATCAGATACCCACAGTAAATATCAGATTAATACTCACCAAGTCTGTTAATCCAAACACACAGAAACACATAGAAACTCACACATGCCAAAGCTAAATGCAGGAAACATCAGAGTGAACATAGACTTCCATTAAAGTGATAATTAATATATATGTGTGTGTTTCAGTTAATGGGCAGAAACTACTAAACGGAGCAGGAGCAGGAGGGGGCGGTGCCAGCAGTCACACAGGTGAGCCGACAGTCACGCAGGTGAGCCGACGGGGCAAGGCACTAGGGTTGGGTATCGTTTGATTTTGAACGATTCCGATTCCTCGTTTCGATTCCGATTCCTATCGATTCTCTATTTCGATTCTTGTAAAAGGCAGGATATTTAAAAAAAAATCATGGTTTGAATGAGGGTGCTAACCGGAGCTCTTCTTTTTAGATGAAATTTCTGAACTTCTCCATGAATTTTTAAATACTTTTAACTTTTTAAGAACTTCACTATGAATTTCTCACATTTTCAATCAATACATAAATAAACAATTTTTGTTGTCAGGTCATTTGTCTATGAAAAGCTACAAGGGCTAAAGTTAGTTGGATATTTAAGTTGACCCATCGTACACAGTGCAATTTGTTTGCCGCTTTAATGTTAGCAGAGGACAGAAGTAATTTATTGTTTCACTTATCTGGTTCTAGCTGGTTAGCGGAAGACCGGTGTTGTGCTGTAGAATGCACCCCTGCCATAGAATGCCTCCCCTCCACTCATTAGCTTCTTAAAGTGGAAGAAATATGATCTCATGTTTAAATGACATGAGTTGACATCATGTCAGATGGAGCAGTAAACTTTCGTTTTGTTATTATTTGTCTCAAAAATGCACACATAAAGGTGTACTTGGGTATATAAACTGTAGAGTAAGCTGTTAATGTAGAGAACATAATATTTTCAGGACAGTAAATATTCAGAGTCAGAGGGCTGTTGTTTTCGGCATATCTGAATAGTCTGAATGAAATCATTAAAGGCACACGCTTTAGATTCCGTTCAACGGTAAGGAAAACTTGGATTGTTTCGCCTTGTTGTGTACTTTCAACCGCGCTCCCGTCAGGGGGGCATTCTACAGCAGGGGTGCATTCTATGGCATAACACCGGCGAAGCGCGTCAAAGACGAGCACTCGGGTATTTCTCCTCCATGAATTCTGAGGTGTTTAATCATGTTGGTCGTTTACCCTCCTTTGCATGATATAACTGTATTGCTAATGTTGCTCTGAGATAAGAGCTCATTCTTCCTGCTAAAGTTAGCCAAACTTTTGACCAACGAAGAAGAAGCCGCCGAACACCAACGAGGATGGAGCGTATGAGACGAAGCCACACAGAGAGAGGAGAGAGACAGACAGAGAGAGTGCATTGTAACCCACAGCGGCTGCATTGCTGTGTACGCTCCGTCCTCGTTGGTGTTACGCGGCGTCTTCTTCGTTGGTGTTCGGCGGCTATTTCTTCCGCCAGCGGACTCCGGCATCGAAGCTTGGAAACAAAATTTTAAAATTTGAACGATTCCGGTAGAATCGAAATGTTAGTCCCGGTCCCCATCGATACTCGATTCTCGATACCCAACCCTACAAGGCACTGACAGATAATGCTTCAGATGGACTTTACCTGCAGACCTGACGGCACCTACAGTATCTACAAGTGCCCCCCCAGTAATACACACAAAACACACAAAAACACACATACTGTATATTCTGATGGAAGGAGACAGGGAGTCATGATGGGACACAGACTAAGAATACTTGACAAGTTTCCTGTTGTCCTCTCTCTCTGTCTCTCTTTCTAAGGTAATCTGGGTTCATTTGGGGGCGGAGTTACACACCTGGACTATACAGGTGAGTGTCCAGGTGAGGTATGTGTGCCTTTTTTCAATGACTAACGATTGATGGCTAAGAAGACTTCCGTTCAAACTCAGAGAAATTAAACTTTAATAGGTTTTAAGAGGTACAATTTAGAAGCATTACAATGAGTTTGGAACTATTTAAACTTTTTAACCTGCTTAAAAAAATCTGTTTTAATCTGTTTACAAAGCCTGAGACTGTTTTTATTTTTCAAAACCGTTGAGGTCCTTCTAAGTTTTATCACGGCTTGTATCCTGTTTATCATTCAGTTAAGACTCCTTGGTTTTGTTTTGTCATTTTTTTTTTTAGGAGGTTTCGACTCATCAGGCCACGACTTTCTGCTGAGCCTGATGGGTGAGTGACTGTCTCCTGACTCCTTCACTGTTTCCTTTCCTTACCGTTTACTGCTTCCTTTGACAGCTTCTTTTCTGACTTTGCTTTGAATTCCTCTTTACTGTTTCCTGCCTCCTTCCTGTCTCCTTTGTTGTTCCCTTACCAGAGTGACTTCTCATCTCCTTTTCTGATCTCCTTTTCTCGGGTCCTTTATGTCTCATGCAGCTAACACTAAAGGTTTCTCAGGTGTATCCGTCAGGTGATGATTTCACAAGCTGGCATTTTACATTCTTGATATCATCACTAACTGCATTCTGAAGCCAGAGAGTGTTCAAATGTCCCATGTGATTCTACAGGTGGAGGTGATCCATTTGGACCAGGTGTTTACCTCAATGGGCCAGGTGGGGTTTCAGATCTTTAAAGTTCCTGTCAAACAAACTGGACAGAAAAAAGTCATTAGTTAAGTCGTACCTATGATTGACAGCAGGTGATAAGAAGGACAGCATTTTCGTCAGTACAGTTCAGGTGTCATTAGAACAGGTGTAATAAGTCCAGGTGTAAGAAGTACAGGTGTGATCAGCACAGGTGTAATAAGTCCAGGTGTGATCAGTACAGGTGTGATTAGTCCAGGTGTAATAAGTACAGGTGTAATAAGTCCAGGTGTGATTAGTCCAGGTGTAATAAGTACAGGTGTAATAAGTCCAGGTGTAAGAAGCACAGGTGTAATAAGTAAAAGTGTGATTGGTCAAGGTGTGATCAGTTCAGGTTAAATCGCCCTAACCTGCACAGGTTTGCATGTTCTTAGTTCAGGTGTTTTGAGGTGAGATGAGGACATTAAACTGATCCTTCTAGAACTTTCAGTGGTGACGGAATTGAAGAAAGCTTTTGTTTTTACAGGTGACATGACACCACCCACTCAGCTGGACTCTACAGGTGGGTTCTTGTTTTAAAGGTGAAATCTGTAGTCAAATGACTTGTCAGGCAGTGCCCCTGGTGGCCCCCGATAGCCCACTATTGACCCTCTAGTGGCTGTCACTCAGACATCACATTAAGCCATGTGACTGAAGCCTCCAAGGTTGATCAGGTGTTTTATTTCTGGCTTTGTCGTTTGTTAAACAAACTGATAGAAATGTAAATGTTTCGTTTGTGTTTCAGCTTTTGGTTCCAGTGTAACTCCCATTCAGTCTGCACACCTTGACAGTGGCTCCAGTCTGGACTCACATGCAGGTACTGACTCCACCCACGGGTGACATATGACCTGCATACAGGTGTTTGAATATGAAAGTAAGTCTCACAGTAAACTTCGACCTTTGTGTTGATAAGAGCCTGTTTACTAACATCACTTATTTGATCCGTAAACTCTGTTTTTTAGCGGGAATGTTGATTCATAAATTTTCATGTTTGACGAAGAACAGGAAGGAAAACTCTCTCCAAAGATAAACAATGTCACTTTAAGGACCCTTAAACATTCAGGGTTTAGAGTTTGGAAAGTGACTTTGAAGTCCACTGAAACATTTTTATATCGAAGAATTTAATATTGTGAATATCCCTGAAAGACGGCTCGGGTTCTGGTGCCGTTTCTATAAGCTGTCAAGACCCGTTCAAACAAAGTGAGAGCTGAGTCAGTGCAAATCTGAAATGGACCTTCCACCAGGGTACAAGTGGGGATCAGGTTCTCCACCAGGGTACGAGTGAGGTCTAGGGTCTCTATCAGGGTACAAGTGAGTGTTACAGCCTCAATCATGACCCTTTTCACTGAATCTGAAACCCAGAATTCAGTTCCTGTTCATTCAATGACGATGTTGTTCTGTTGGTCTTTTCAGACTAGAACCTTTACGGGAGAGGTAAACACAAAAAAGAGGATGAATGAAGAAGAGGAATGAATGGATTGTTGATGGATAGTGAATGATTGGATAGATAGATTGATGGATTTCAGATGGATGAGTAATTGATAATAGATCGATGGGAAAGTGATTGGATGAAGATGTCACAGTTCTGAAGAGACCAAAGTGCAGAACGACATCAGGACAGATGTCGGGTTTTAAAAAGCATTACCAAAAAGAGGGCAGATCTGTTCCAAAGTCCAAAAACAAAAACCAGCCCAACCAGGCAAAAGTACAGTCAACAACCAAATCCAAAAGAGGGAACAGGCTGAAACAACGAACCGGCAACAACAACTCAGACTGACTGGTTTAAATACAAGCAGGTGATGAGCGAACAGGTTACAGGTGTGAGCAGGAGGGTGTGGTTGAGGAGGAGCAGGAAGCTCCAGCAGTGTCAATGACAGAAGATGGAGGATGGATGGATGGATGGATGGATGGATGGATGTTTTTGCTGTGTTGCAGTGAAAAAAAACCTTGTTGTTTATGTTGTCGTTGTCATGGATACATGCTAGATGTGTTGCATGGACCAGCCTGGACCAGCACCATGTCCCCAAGCACAGAATCCGACCAATTACTGATCAGCACTGTTTCAAGCGACCCACCTCACAGCTAAGGAAGATCAGAAGCGTAAAGACTCTTAAGGTCCTTACACGTCGGGAACGACGCGAAATTATGAAATATTCGGAGGCGAATTTTGACGCGTCACATCAAGCGTGATGCGATTTTGCGACTTTCCGGGGAAAAAAAACGCGTCCCAGGTGGAAGCAAGAAGACTGACACAACAGCAGACTGACTGTTTTTCAGTTCTGATTAGACACTATTGTGGAGATGTCTGTCTGTCATGATAGCATGTACTGAGTCAGGGCCAGTACCAGATAAACACATTAAACTATAATCCATAAACGTAAGGGAACAACCGTGACCTAATGGTGCTGTGACAGTGAGACAGAGAAAATACATATGG